TCGTAGTCAGCCCTTTGCATGGGCGGATTAATGTCCAGCTTTCTCTTGTCAATGTGGAGTTGCTTGTGAATATTACTGTTCGAAGGGTTATGAGGTCTGGCAGATTTGTTCAAGTCATTGCTGTTGTCACCAATCACTATGTCTGAGACGGCGATGATGCCAGGAGAGCAGCTGGAGGGTCTGCAGCAGCGGTTCCAGCTGCTGGGTAGTAGAGAAAGTGGCAGCAGAGATGGTTTAGTATATTCGATCTGGGGTAGTATAGGCTCGGTGTAGGTCCGTTCAAGGTGGAGTTGCTGGAAGGGATCAGAGATTAGAGGTACAGGATGGAGAGTGTGAGGCTACTTGAGAGATGGCGGCTCAGTTGGCCATCACGCAGAACACGGTATATGAAGGAGAAAGAGAATCGGCCTTTGTGGGGGCACATAGGTTCTCCCGACATCCGGGGCGGTATGGTTTGAAGAACGGCTACTGGATAAGATAGCTGTTCCAGGGTCGGGCTTGTTGAGGGCTCGGGCTACTGGTGGACACTAGTAACAGTAATTGCACGAGGAAGGCGTAGTAGAGACCGTGGGGGGGGGGAGGGGTCAAGAGTCGTTAGGATGATGATGTGGGTAACGCCCTGGCAAGACTGTATGGAATCGGAAGTTAGTTTTCAATTGTTGGGGGGTACCAATTAGGGATCACCACTACCTTGGGTATAATGGTCAGCAGGTAATTGACTCCTCTTGACTGTGTCGGTTTGACTCGTATAGTGTTCTGGTCTGCACCCTCCTAGAGGAGAGCGATGTCGTTATAACAGTGGGCTGTAGCAAACCTGAGGCCTCTATCATGAAGGGTATATGACGGGCCGTCGGTTGTAGCTGGGCAGGACCCTATGCTGGAGAGATGATGCCGCTATATGGTATTAGTGACTCGTGAGGCGATGGTGGGGACCTAGGCCAAGCGGGTGCAGGTCATCGGTAGTTGGCTAGGGCTGATGGAGGAGCAGGCGGTGTCCAAGTTGGTCTATTTCGGGCGAGGTGTGGTATGAGCGCTGATATTGTCACTAATCCTGCGAATTTCCTTGCTTATAACTGTCCCGCTAATTCGTTGAACTCGACTGGACCCGCTCTGGGGCCATGAAATGATGACTTGTGATATGGGTCCTGATGGAGAGTGGTGGCATGATCACAGGAAAGAAGGAAATACGCCGACAACATATGATTCATATCGCCATCCTTGCTTTTGCCCACCGTAAAACTCACGGCACTTGGAGAACCATCGTACAGGGGGGGGGGCGAGCTCTTAGCTCGTGCCTTTGCACTTCCTCACACTTCGTGCCCTCCAATTCATACGCCTAATCTCACTTTAGTGTACAGCTACGACGCCCGACCGGAGTAGCAGCGATATGGTCGTTATAACATTCTTACTATACAATGGTCTTTCGTTCGCATCTTGTTGCTGGGGCCAGCGGAAAAGGAGAAGGGTCCCTTCTGTGGTGTAGCTCAGTTACGGATCCTGTCCTGTTGTTATGAAATTATGTTGATCATCATCTTCTACCTAGCAGCAGCCGCGTCACTGGGAGCTCGCGGTGACATCGATATTGATCGATTCGTGTCCGACCCCACTGGGGCTCTAACGGGCATGCATGTCCTTCTCGATGCAGAGGTGACCTATTGCCTGCCTACGCTCGCCTTATCGGCACTCTGGCAGCACAGATCGGATTCTTCTCTACGGAATTCCCTGAGGAAGTCTGTAGCAGTACAGTGTCAGCGTATGCAATAGAAGACTCCCAGACCGAGCCGAGGTCCGCGGACTACTTCCGTTACCAGCAATTGCGGTATTGCCTCCCAGTGCTCGAGCAATCGAGGGATGTCCTTGCTCAGGACGGATCCTGGGCAGGACCCTCAGCAGATAAACCTTTACCAGGGGCCATGCCCACCGTCCCATCCGAATGCTCTGGCTTACTTGGATAGCTCTTTAGCAGGGAGGATGGTGAATAAGTCCTATACGTATGTGTGCCGTACTACAGACTGGGTGCCGGATGGGGGAATGGAACCTCTGCCTCATAGCAGAGACCAGGTAGGGACACGGCAGACTGTTCGATTCGGCCAATGTGCCGTGATTATTATCGCTCTCGAGATTGGCCTACAGATATGTGTCTACGGCGCACGACTGGTCCCTCCGATGCCTGGACGGCGCGGAGGTATATTCTCTAGACAGAAGCAACCGGTGGCTTATGGCTTCGATACGACCTTCTACTTCACCGTGCTCCATGCCTCGCAACACTGTCCAGTGTTGGCCCCGACCAGCGGAGGACGGCGATGGTGTATGCCGCAGGGGGGCCGAGGCTTCGCCTTCCTAGTGCAGAATGAGGGCAGTCCGCCGACTCTAGATGAAAAGATATCAGCAATGGAGGCTGGTCAACTGGGCTACAGCTTTGCACGCAACCTGGCTGTTGAATTTGATTTCTACCGGGATACGGAAACGGCTGATCCCAGCTGGAATCACATCGCTGTGATGGTCCCTTGGGCGCGGCAACTCAGTGAGGGTGAGACTTTGAACTCGGCTGACCACGCTTCGAATATGCTGGCGGAGGCCACTGGTGACCGTCTCCCTCAGCTCAACAACGGCACGCATGAGGTTAGGATACGTTATGACGTCCAGGCAGGGGAGCCGAGGTGGGATAGGGCCTTTACGGGCTGGTCCAGCGACTTCATAGGAGGAACTCAGCAGCTCAACACACTCGAAAATTGGGCCAGTGGTCGCATAGGGGCACTTAGTGTCGAGATCGATGGCCAGGTGGTCATCAATACACTGGTAGACCTTGCTAAGGTGGTACGCGTTGATGATGTGTCAACGTACGAGTATCCTAATGTCACTATGGGAGACGGTGACCCTAGACCTGGTCATGCCTGGGTCGGCTTTGTCGCGACCACTGATCTCGACCATTATGCGGCACCAACAATACTGAGTTGGAAGTTGAAGACCCACGATAGATGCCCCGGCGGGGATTATGCACGAGTGGTTGTTGGCTCGGCGAGTGGGGAGGATCGTGATGGTCTGGTCTCTGCAGGGGTCGCGGTATGTGATAATGAGTATAGGCCAGCAGACACTCGTCAGACGTGCACTGGCACTATGGGGAACACGTAAGCTCTATTGCCTTTATTGCGAGGTCATGCTCGTGGTCCGCTACAGGCACTGCTCTATAATTATCCAGAATACTGGCCGAACCGCGGTAGAGGTCTCTGCTGCGTATACAGATGGTCTCCCAATGAATTTCACCAATTCTCCACGTGTCGCGGTAGACGCTACGCAGACGGTCTCTGTGAAGGCCTTCCGAAGTCGGCCATGCAGTAATGGTCTCCTGGAGTGGGACCAGATCCATCCATATTTCCTGGGCTGCCAGAAGGAGTTTCGATATACTAATACTCTACAGGCCTTGGTCATCACCAGTCAGGACGGGACCAGGAGTGTCAAGGTCGATGATGCCCATCTGCTCAACGTTGCTACTGGAATTGGAACGGTGAGTTATGTCGTAGCAGAAGGTTCCTCCTTTGACTGAGTACCCCGGGATCGATCGTTGTTACTACTCTGTATGCAGGAGACTATCTTCCTATGTTCACCGGAGTCATCGAGGGATGTATTTCTTCGCGGTATCATATAAGTCTGCACTACCGTATCATTAGGTTGTCTACAGTAGTTATAGTAACTTCGAAAATTTCAGTGATATGTGCTAATTTCCATTGGCGGTAGCGAGTATGATATTCCATATCAGGTAGCCTTTAAGAAACGTTCCCCCTTCCGTTACTGTGTGATGGAGCATCGACATAATCCTTATCGTCTCTACTTTGCCCAGTGCGACTGCGACTACTGCACGAGGATCTTCGCCATTCAAGACATGTATGCCGTGTTCCACCAAGCTAGTTGCGGGGCTAGGTATGGCTTCACGTGTACCTGTCTGGAGGCCTCTCAAATGACTTGGACCGCGCTGGAGTCGTCCTATTCGGTGGTCGCCGATCCGTGGAGGCTCATGCCGCCAGTCGGTGGCCTTAGTGAGGGAAGACCACTGTTACAGTATCAGAGGCACTCCGTATGCCGAGGTGAGCGTCGGTGGTGGTGATTGGATTAGAATGATGGACTGTCTCCTGTAGGATGCAAGTATGACACCCATTGTGGGTTCGTGTATAAGGCAGGTGTATGTAGTACGGCTTACCAAGTGTATCGTATTGGTAACCCGACTACGCCACTAGTAAGGCACTTGTCTTCTCACAGTCCTGTCCTTGCATGCTTCAGGTCACTCCCCAGCCTAGGTTTCTCAACTGGACTCGAGATAATGGTGAAGTGAATGACGGCGAGATCAAGGGTGATTCGTGTGACTGCCTCGATATGGGTGACAACGCGAACCACTTCATCAACCTGCGAGGCCAGATGCAGTCACATGACGTCTTTTTACTCAGAACGCTGCAGCAGTCGAAGGAGGTGAGCTCGTTGTGGGCGACGACCACGTAAGCCTGTCTTGTGTGGTAGGAGTGCTTCGATTGTCTGGCCCTCTACGACGATGATTTCTGCAAGTACCAGTGCGGCCCACCAACTCGAGCCGCCCTCCTTCACTGGCCCGCTGGGCAGAGCTGTGGAACCTGTATGTTTGCTGGGCCCAAGATGTAAGCCTGTGAACTGGACCACGACGGTCATGATGGCTGTCATGTAGGTTGGAGTTGAATTACTATTATAGGAATCAGCTGAAGGAGTGTGCCTACTCGGCAATCAACGCCGGCAGCGACCCTTGGATAGCCTGTCAGGATCTGGCCACGACTTTACCTCCGCTCTTCGAGAACACGACCGAGCTCTTCAATGGTGTTGCCACACACTTCCTCACTGAGTGCCCTGGTCGGGACTTCACTGAGGTTGGGGCGGTTTGTGCTCCCAACATGTTGGCCAGGGACAGCATGCCTTCACAAGTCCTGTCGAGACTCTCTGCCATGAACAACACGGTATGGAACGACGGTCTGGAGTGCATCAACGCAATGTGTGAGCTCGTTAGTAGCAGCAATTGCTACTCCAAGTTGGTGAGGTTGGTCTTCAATAGCACTAATGGTTGCTATGACTCCCTGGGCTCTGGTCTGGGCTGCTATATCATGAACGGTGCTCCGATTGTGGACGACGCGATGATCTTGGATAAGACGCAGAAGCAGTGGGCTTATACTGACCCTTTGCCGGCCTCGTGGGGGCAGCTACAGGACAAGACCATGGAAGTTTGGGTTACTGTGGGCAGCAGTGAGACGGTGACCAATGTTGGGGTCAAGAACGGTACCACTTCGATCACTACCTCTGAGTGGAGCGAGGCCTATGAACCACAGATGGCCGTCGATGGAGATATGGACACCTACTGGTCAAGCCATGTGAGTGATACCTCGGTGTTCGAGGCCGAGTGGGAGGTCCACTTTAACGGCACTATCTATGCTGAGGCCACTGTCATTCATTGGTTCTATCGGGCCTTGGACTTCGACATTGAAACCTCCATGGATGGTGGTCTAACATGGTCCCAGGTGGGAGTCCATGAAAACAATGATCTCAACACTACGACTAGCACGGTGTTCTTCTCGGCTAACGTGTTGCGAATTCGAATGCATCGAGCTGCATTGGTCAGAGGCCCCGGACCAAGTGCCGGTTTGTTCGTATACAGTATAAGAGAAGTTGAGGTGAAGCTCGACACCAACATCGCCAGGCTGAAGCCAGTGACCGCGGTGAACAGGTGGAACTATCCCGCGTTATATGCCTTTGATGGTGACCAACGGACGTGGTGGAGTGCTAGGCCTGGCCAAGACTCGGCATGGGTACAAGTGGATCTGGGCCTGGTATGGAGTCCGGTGAGCCTGGTTAAAGTGAGGTTTAGGAGGGGTTATGTTCCCGCTGTGATGGCCTTATCTTACAGCAGTGACGGTTTGATTTGGTCCGCTTTGGCTTGTTCGACCAGCACTTGTGATACAGGTAGGTAGGTCCCTATCGTATTGATACTCCTCTTGACTACCTTCCTCTTCAGCGTCACCTGTCGAGACCATGGACCTACCTTTCGACCATGTCCCTGGCGGTCTGGCCTTCCAGTACCTCAAGATGGACCTATCACAGGGGGCATCATATTACTCCTCGTCAATAATACAAGTGGCTGAAGTGGAAGTCTATGCCTGGACCACGACCAACGTCCTGACCACTCTGGTGTATCCCTCTGACCTAATCTGTATCAATCAGCGCACGCTCGCATCATGCGGTGATCCCTCATTGGCCGTGGATGATCGTACCGATGCCGAGTTCATCATGGAGTCATCAGATGCCATTGTGATGGACGTCACGGCCATCACTGCCGGTGGGGTCGCCCTGGGACGGTTCGAGGTCGTTTTTGGTGCGGTCCACCCCGCTCGGGCCTTTGGCTGGCTGGTCTCGACTGATAACGGCCTTTCCTTCACCGAGATCTACTCCGAGTCCCAAAACCTGCTCAGTAGTCCCGATGCTTTCACGTACATCTCAGACCGTCCAATACATCAAGTGAAGTTCATCATGTATGAGCCACACGCTGATGCGGCAGATGCTGGGGTGTTGGAAATTAGAGTCTATAGCCTCACCTCGAACCTAGTTCTGGGCCTGGACCCCACCAGCAACTACCTGGCCGAGGGTACATGGTCAGCTTCGGAGACTGCCGATGGTGATGCGGTGGTCCGGGGAGACCCAATGCATGCAATTGATGGCAATAACGATACGGATTTCCGAGTGCCCTATGGTGCCCGACAGCCATCATACCTCGCTGCAACAGGCGTGTCCGCTACTGGTGCTGTATCGAGCATCACCGATTTCGCATTCGACATCGACTTGGGGGCTACACTAACGGTGGACGTTGTTCACTTAAAGTTCAGCTATCGATCGGCTGCGTTTCGAATACAGTTGAGATGGTCTACGACGAGTTCTTGGTCAGAGACTTGTGAGTGGGCGTCAGCTCTGGGGGATCTAGGGGTTACCAGTACTGAGACGCTCGCTGATTATGCCTGCTTCTCGGGCCGTATAGTGAAGATAGACTCCTTCAACTACTACTACGTGATCCCTATCACAAGTTTTGGCACCTACCATCGTCGGTCGCTGAGAGTAACATTGATGAGGGATAGTATGATGGACCAGGCGGGAGATGACTGGGTACGCCATCTCTAGCACTAATAGTCGTGATAGACTCTCGCCCTGAGGAATGTATCATAGGCAATCTGCTGAAGGCCACTCCCGTTCCTCCCGTAGAGGCGCCTATACGACTGGTATCGATAGTTGAGTTCTGGTTAGATCATGGGCCTGTCCGCTGTGGAGGTCTATTCGGCGTTCGAGAACATTGCCTTGAAGAGCACTCCCTTGATCTCCCAAATATCCACGCCGTCAGCCGACCCGGCCCTCGCCATCGATGGTCACTTTGACACGTATGACTAGCAAGTACTCTCGGAAACCCCCGGTGTTCAGGTACTGGTACACTACGGTGTCGGCATCCTCCAACCCGACCTATACTCTAGACCTTGGCTCTTGTGTGTACATATCCCAGGTTACGCTATGGTTCGGGGCACAGGCCTACACCTCTACAGAGTTCACTATACAAGGCAGTCCTGATTGTACAGACTACTCGGACCCTGGGCAGACCTATGGACCTGGCAATACCAACCAGGTAGGGTCATCCCTACTGGTTACGGCTATGGTGTTGCTGGGATTTGGTGCTTAGGCACCGACTTTTCCCTCAGCGGCCGGGGTCTACTTATCGGTCTCTCTAGGGTGTATACAATGCGTTAGAGTAACCTTTCAAGCTGGACCACCAGACGGCTTGGTCAGGATTGCGGAGCTCGAAGTGAAACTGGCTGATGCTGCCTTCCTAGCATCCTACGACAGTTCCCTCATCGGCGCTGAATACGCCCTTGATGGTGTGGCGGCCACAACGGCGACGACACTGGATGCTGATGGTGTGCATTATCTACAGGTCACTCTCGGCAGTCTTCAGACAATCTGGGGCGTAAGGGCGGTCTTTGAGCCCTCATCGTTCCCTAGAGGGTACACTTTGGGTATCTGCTCCGAGTCTGTTGTGACGAATTGTGACTGGAGCTCACTTACAGTCTATACGACTGACGTGAACAGGGACAACAGTCTGGTCATCAGCTTCGAGGCTCGTCCAGCTCGGCATCTCATGTTCAGTTTGAGACTTCCAGCTGAATTAGCGGCGGGTAAGGTAGAGTCTAGTTTGCATGATCTGGAAAGCCATGCCTATCGTGTGATCTCAGATACCTTCTCTAAGGACTATAGGTTGGCGACTTTCGAGGTGTACCAGTCGAGCAATATCGCTTTGACTAGTCTGGGGGCAACAGCAAGCGCCAACGCGTACTGGAACCACTCCCCTTCGAAGGCTCTCGATGGGTGAGTACCAAGCCTCGAGCTCTGTTGGTGGGCTACTGTGGTCAATTCAGGGACGACTTCACCTTCTGGAGCAGTGAGGTGGATGCCAATGAAGCAGAGCTTGTCATAACACTACAGGACATCACCACGACTACAGTCCTCCGGCCTTATTTCGTATCCCTGGTCTCCATAGTGGTGAGCATTATGGCCGTTTAAGACTCTACAATGCTGGTCGTTACGTGGTCGCTAGGCTAGAATTACATTTTCTTTCGATGGTGGAAGAATTATGGTATATTCATCCGACGTGGTGTTGACTCCCTGTATATGCTGTGCGTCATTCATTGCCATGAAGGTTTGATCAGTTCCGAGATGAGCCCCTCGACTTTGACATATACTCGTCACTCGACAACAGCGTATGGTCACTCCTAAATAGCTACCAGGATAATACCGCTAAGAACATCATCGTAACCGATACTTTCGATGCCAACTATTTGAAGATAGCCATGACCCGACGAGCCTATGACCTCGCTACGGTACGTGAGGTATCCCAAATCTCGGAGGTTGGCCTTGGTCTCAGGCTGGTGGCTTTTCGCAGCCCAAATTGTACAGTATATATACCGTAGATGTCACTCATTCGCCACAGCTCCAGTTGGGGAAGACCATCTGGTCCGATACCCAGGCTGATGCTGGGGACTACGGTCCTGAGAAGGCCCTGCAGGGTCTAAATTCAGTGAGGTCTTTCATCTTGCTGGTGTTGTTCGTGGTGCATCTAACGTGGGCTACAGAATGGACTCCTTTAGACCTTCTGGATCCCGAACCCTGGATCGGAGGGCTCACCGTCCGCTACCTTCGAGATGGCTGCTGCTGGGTCCTCCGTGGAGGTCTCAGGGATAATATTCACATGGTTGGCCGTACCTAGGGACTACACCATCGCGTATTGGGACCTGACACGAGCTGCTTGGAACTGGACGGTGAGCTCTATGTTTGATCACAGTGGGGACCAGAACAGTCTTCATGGTTGCCAGGAGTCCTCATCCGGCCTGGCCATCAATAGCACACAGCAGACCACCTATCTACGCCGAGGGTTCGACAGCGACAAATTCCGCGTGACGATCGATGCTGCCAACAGCTACCAGGGTGTACCTTTAACAGGTTCTCATGTTGCACCAAAGTGGGTTCAGCGTGAGCCTCCTCTTTCTCAGCTCTACGTAGCCTCACGGTATACACTCCTGCTACCCAGTGTACCACCAGTACGTGCTCCAGTGGCTGTTGCCTCAGTGCTTTCAACGCATCCAATTACACCGAGCATCCCCAATATGCCTTTGACGGTCTCAGTACAACGTAGCGATCAGTAGGGCAGTAGACATCTCAGCTTCTTCACCTTAGTGAGTTCTCGGTCGATATTGGGCCATCCGAAGCATGGATAGCAGTTCAAGTGTCCAGCTCGATCACGACTGAAACACCGTTGGGGAAGATACGAATTTCGTGAGTACACCCCTGAGATTGTCCCCTAGGAGTCCTCGTATATAAACTTTGTGAAGTGGTTACACTGACAGTGTTGAGGATGGGGTCCTTGTCAGTTGGAACTCTACAACTATATGCAAGCGGTTTGTTGTTGAGCTGGAGGACCTCAGCGGAAAGTACACTCAAGTGATGGCATACGGCGACAACACGAACGCTGTGAATGAGGTAGCTACAGTGGCCTTTGGGGATTTCCTCAGTGAGGCCCTTTGAAGGTGTTGTTCTTCCGTCCAGCTCGGCACATTCGGGTGAGGATGTACGAGAACCTAGACCCTCAATCGACACAATATCGTATAACGGAGATTGAAGTATGGAAGGCTGAGGATAGCCAGCAACCTCTCGGGGCCTCTGCTGGCATAGACGATCTATTCACCACTGGTAGCATCGTGCTTGGCCTCAACCGGCTCGATAACACGATTGAGGTGGTGGTGTTGTTGTTGTAGACGCTGCCAACGCGATATCATCCAATAACTCGACGATGTGGATGTCGGTGCCCGGACCACCGCAGGAGCCAGGCAATGTGACTCTGGACCTTTTGGCGGTGTACCCGGTGATCATGGTCCAGTGCCTGTGGGGCATGCAGCCAGCTACTATCGATGATAGACGTTTTGAGATATCAGAGGACTTCATAGTCTGGTCGGGTAGGCGTGCAAGGGTCATTTGGTGCTGAGTGGTCGGCCCAGAGATTCTCTTGACGGGCCCTGTGGATTCGAACTCGAAACTGGAAGAGTTCACGGGCTTGGTGAATATGCGCTATCTCCGTATATCCTTCACCGAGGCGTTTAATGATACAGCGAATGAGCCTAATAAGTTGGGTATGTCTATCAGAAATCTACACGTCCAACTGGACCAGGTAAATTGACCACCGTGTTGGAGCCGCAATAATGCGCTGTTATAAGGCTTCTATTCGTCTGTACTTAGAACCTGGCGCGTGGGCATTATAGTGCGGCTCCTACTGGTACCTGGTCCTTCCCTTCGAGTGCTGCATTGGACGGTACTCTTGACACTTACTGGAGTACCCGACAAGACGTAGACGCCGCTAACTTCACGGTGGGTGCCACTGCTGCCTCGAACTGCTTGAAGAAGCTTCCTAGGTTACCTTTGCCGAGTTGTTCAACCTCGCCGGGATCCATATAGAGTTTCTCTACCGACCTATCAGCATAGAGCTGTACCATAGCGTGGACTGTATAGTGTACAGCTTGGTCGACTCCATCACGGATAATTATGAGTGAGTCCTCATCCTTTCCGAGGATCACTTCTAGAGGAAGACTGTGGTAGTTACGCCTTTGAAGTACCAACAACAGTCCACTTCCAAGCTCGCTGCGTTCGGGTTCACCTATCAGGCGCTCGTGATACCATATGGCACCCGGATCGCTATGGAGATAACACCTCTTTGGTGCAAGTCATCGCCATAAAAGAGTTTACCTTGCTCGAGCACGCTGGTGGTGGTAGTGTCTTTGGAATAGAGGACTGCTCCGGTTCGAACTGTGGATTACGGTAAGTCTCCGTTGGGTGCCCTGTTGAACAACCTGTGTTCCGCGTAGGGATGCATCTGCTGATAGATACGACACAATAACCTATGGTTTGCGTGAACCGAGGGAATGGTTTTTAGCATCGGAAGCGGACATCAGGAGCCAAGACGTAGTGGGAACCAAGGAGAACACCATGCAGAAAGTAGCCCTGCATGAGGTCACGAGATTCAGTTTAGTGTAGGTTCACATCGTTGCGGTATTCGGTGGTAACACCATTACATTGTACCGTAATGGACAGCAGTACGGTAGCTCTTACAACGGCTCGGCGATAAGCGCGTCAGCATGGGATAGCAACGCCAGGCTGATCATGGGGATTCGGTCCACTGCGTAGGGCTATTGGGTTCTCCCCAGTTGAGGCGCTTCCCACAAGGTACGTCGGCCTCTCGACAGTCTCTATCTTCAATGGTACGCTATTGGAAGGCCTCACTGGACTTCACGATGATACTCACGATAACTTCTTCTCGGGGGCTATACATTCAGTGACTCTCATTAGAGGAGCTCTGTCAGCTGAGGAGGTCTTGGGCCTCTACGAAAACAATGCCGGGAAACCCGAGCGAGCGTGTCATTGTGGGCATCGTGTGTGCCCTAGTGGTCCATCACGGTTCCTACCTTCAGTACAGGTAAGTTCGAAGAATAGTATGTCGTGGCCGGTCGGATGTCTCCTCCCTCAGTGGTGATCTCTGAGTTATCGCTCTCTCGTGTTAGGTCCCTTGCTCGGGCCAAGGAGTGTGCGTTCGCAACGTGAGTGCAGACGGCCTCACCCAGACCGGTAGCTGTGTCTGTTTACCGGGCTACAGTGGTGGGCAGTGTGGGACTGGATGGGTCTGGGTGTAGATCCTTGTCAGGTCCGAACTGCTCAGTGCATTGCTCTGAAAACGGAGGCTGCTGTAAAATTGATGACGATTGCCCTTATGACCGTCATTGTGATGAACTCACCAGCAGCTGTGTCAGCTAGTATCGATGATTGTTTGGAGACTTCCTCATGCTCCGTCATGCAATACTAGATGTGTTTCATTCCTTTTCCCTGCTGTTGTGTTTATTTTGCCGGCAGTGATATACCGCATTATGCTCCCAGTTTGATGAGTTTTTCGTTACGTGTTCTCCTATCCCCCGTTGAATGCATTGGTTCATCTTGCCATCTCCATCATGGTCTTTAGCGCCTATATCAAAGGCCTAGAGAAGGCCCATCTGGAGGTCTACAGGGCCCAGTAACGAGCATCCATTTGCGTCCGCTATTCTACCAACCAGAAGCCGTTCAGACCCTGCCATTGCGAGTTACCAGCCGTCTTTCTGGTGTGCGCCGATGTGGTGTTGATACGAATGGCGGTAGGCCACTGCTATGGTCAGCGCATAGCCTCCTGCTGCTGCTCAGCTTGGGGTCCTCTCGGGTGGCCTGCTGAGACCCATTGTAGTGCGTCTAGTTCCTTCTGATCCCTATGAGTTCCTCCTCATCATCCACCCCGAGAGACGGCACCGAATCAGACGGTGAGTCCCAGCGATCTAGTGCGGCTACAGCGAATGAGAACCGACACTTTGGCCTGGAAGGATCGCAGTGGCATGCAGTATGCACTCTCGCACGTTTGAGAAGGGAGGGACGGGTTCATACACAAGTAGGTTGGGCTCATCGAACACCAGCAGTTACCCTGGTTTCCCACGGTTTCTTCTCCCTCAGGTGGATGGACGATTCGTATCAGTGTTATATGATCCCCGACCACAGAGTGGGAGCAAGGCGCCTATCATATACTGTTTAGATTCTATTTGTTATCACATGGGTGGTCCCTTGACCACGGGAGACATCGAGGATGTATGTTCTCTACTTGGTTCATGTTTATTCGCCTTTCAGATTGACGGCATTCCCAGCCTCAGCTGTCCTTGGCATCAGTATAAGATCAACTTGCGGGATGGTTCTCGACTTTCCCGCCCAGTTACCTTTGATCCAAAGACTCGGAGGCCAATACCGGGCAAGTGGGAGGTCCGAACTGAGGCGCGTCTGCCGTTATGAGGTGCCCATTTGGTCAGAGTGGTCCCAAGTGTGTCCAGCGCATACACGATGTTCGTTGTACAGCCGATGGGCAAGTTGAAGTGAGGCTCACTATGGAAAGCAGTCAGCCCGTGCTCAGCGATAAATACGCATACAGCTCTCGTGCCGGTGAGAAAGGGGCCATTCTGTATGACCGATCGTTCCTAGCCCTCAGTGATGAGTTGACAAGACTCTCTATTCCTCAGCTCGTAACCTGACCATAAAGGGAAGCTCTCCCGAGCAGTTGGACTCTTCCAGGCCTTCCCCGTGCGTGATGGACTATCATAATTCCCCCCGCAAGTCCAAGAAGAGGTTGTGTGCTCGCCGATCGACTATCGGGAATTGAATCCTCTGCATTACTCGATAGCTGTCCGACTATCGGAATATTACGTTTCGACCATCACCTGTGTTCTGTAGCGCCCCTGAATTCGTCGTCTTATGTGAGTTTAATATTTCTTATTTCTCCACCCTACGATGTCGTCCTCGCCCATGTCCCAGTGTAGTGCTCCCCTTAGTGACTCTGATGCTGAGTCTGAGTCCATCGTCTTCAGTACCTCCTCGGAGTCCAGCCCGACCAGCCTCCCACAGCGGCTCAAGGACGTCTTCGGAGGTCAGCCCCTCCCCCACTGCTGATCACTCTCCTGCATTGTCTTCAGATGACGAGGTCAGCGTAGGGGCGCTCTGTTCGGACCCTAGCAGATATTGGAAGCGAGTGGTGGTCCTAGCTGGCGCTGGTATCTCCGTGAGCGCCGGGATCCCTGACTTTCGCTCGCCCAATACAGGGATATACGCTAACGTGAAGCAATACACCGACAGTCTGCGAGCTCCCGAGGACCTCTTCTCGATCCACTACTTCCGACATGACCCTTATCCTTTCTACAGGCTATGTCATGAAGCCAAGTTGGGTAGAGGGACGCACGAGCCTACTGCAGCGCACAGGTTCATAGCATGGCTTGCCGAGAAGGGAGCTCTATTACGGTGCTACACTCAGAACATCGACAGCCTTGAGATCGATGCCGGCGTGCCTGAGGAACTCGTCGTTCAGGTGAGAATACTCTCCCACATTCTGAACGGTTGAGTTTCTTCCTCCCTAGGCTCATGGACATCTCCGGTCAGCCCGGTGTATTGATTGTGGATGTCCGTATGGTGGCGACATGAGCGACTTGTTGAGCTCTGAGGAGCCGGTCCACTGCGCTGCCTGCTGTGGCTTGGTGAAACCGGACGTTGTATTCTTCGGCGAGAACCTGCCCGAACGGTTCTTCGACTGTGTCCAAGAGGATCTTTCCCAAGCAACGTTGTTGGTCGTGATGGGCACCAGTCTGCAGGTCGGGCCATGCAACCAAATACCCATCCTGTTGCCGAGGACCACTCCTAGGCTGCTGGTGAATCTAACCCCACCTCCTCACGGTATGTTCCGGTTTGGTCGGGCTGATAACTACCGGGACGTCTTCATCGAGAACGACACCGACTCCGCAAGTGTAGAGTTGAGGAAGATGCTCGAGGAGTCCGGTGGACTGATGCCGTCCAGGTTGTGATGCCACCTGGTTCGACCGATAAGATGATGAAAAATTCTGTCCAACACGAGAACGTAACGGTATAGAAATACTGCGCCCCAAGGCGGCACTATTGGCAGTATTACACATTAGCTTCATCCTTGAGTTTTACGATAGCGTACAGTGTTCGTCACAGTGGGCAGGGTTTGGGTCTTGCGAGGAAACTATCCGTGTATTCTCTCGCCCAGTTCAGTTCCTGATAGTCTCTTTGATGAATGGTAGTCCCACCTCCACCCCAACGAGGCACGGAAGGCCCTGTTCTTCCAGAAGCACAGGCCCTGAAGGCGAACCCTGTGGAGGGTCGTGGTCGGCAAGCTACCATCAGTGAATCGACTTCTCCTGCTTCCGTGAGTCGGCCTGGGGCCAGTACGAATCCTAGTGGTCGAGAACTGTCACCCTTGACTGAAGAGCGCAGCTTGGAGATTGATGAACGTGTTCTTGATGGCCCCGAGATGAGGAAGGACAGTTCCACTGAAGACCACATGAAACGAATGCGGAGTGGATCCAGTCGGTCGGGCTGTAGCTGGCCTCGATCGGATCAGTGGTCCTCAGGCAATATCATGGTAGCGGTTAGAACGAGGAGTCTCCTGCCCTTCGAAAAGGCTCAAGGTGGAAGGGAAGTCCTCAGGGTGGGGGGGGGCTGTACCAAGACCAGACACGAGTCGAGGATGTTATGGTAGGTGCTGGAGAATAAGGTGGTGGTGCTGATGGATCCGGGGACGACGGCTAGTGATGACTACCTTCGTCTGAACAAGTCTAGAGAACGCCGGTACGGCTGCTGCACGGCTTCACAACGACGTTATAGACCCCTGCTAGGTACGCCTTTGACCATGTATTCGAGGC